AAGGCGCGCAACCGAGACCTCCGGGAACTCAAGACGAACACAAACAAGGGTAATCACCAAGTGTTCCAATGGTGACGTCCAAGTCTTGAGGACGGTCAAAAATGGGGTGTCTACAGTTGCCCCTCTTTGACAGAACTCGAAAGTCATAACAATGACGGGAGTGAATGTCAATGCCTAGAGACGACCCATTTGTATGCAACATGGCAATGCAATGTGTACATGCAAGTATGCAAGCAACCATGCGAGGTGAGCATGCAAACAAGCAAAGAGATGGACTTAAACATGATTAGGCAATTCTCAAACAAGCCTAAGTCAGTGGCCAAAGTGCTCAAACATGAAGGCCAACACACGCACACACCTGCACATGTTAAAGGGCTAATACTTAAGCACAAAAGGGCAACTCTCAAGCACACTTGAAAGAGGCATAACATGGACAATTAGCATGTAAATTAAGCTTTGAAAATCATGCAAGAACATGGTGCCAAACCAACCCAAACAATGCAATCAAGGTATGCAAGCAAAGTCCAAGATTCAAAGCAAGCTAAAGGGGTATTGAACCACACTTAACAAGACCAAACATGGCATGAATTGAATGACCCAAAACAGAGTTTTAGCACATAAAACAAAGCCCAAAAGATTACTTAGATGGCATCTAAATGACTTGAATTCAAAAGCATGCACAATGACCAAAACATGGAGTATGCAACACAAGCCTTTGACACATCAAAGGGACCATGAAATGCAAGCGTACGAGCATACTAAGTGGACTGAAATGACATGGAAAATGGTCCCAACCCACTAAATCAAAGCAAGTAATGCATGCTATACACTCACACCCTCAAGGCCAACAAGCCAAAAATGCAAAGGGGCTATACAATACATGCCAAAGTCGACCCAAACAACTAAGGACAGACCTTAATCATGGCAAAATAAACATGAAAGCTTCACAAAGCCAAGCCTAAAACATGCTAGAACAATAGTTTACAACCTAAGGCATGTTAAGGCAACAAAATGGCATTACAAGGCATGTATGCTAAGCAAGCATGGTGTACCAAAACCAACTTAAAACAATGCTATTTCATGACAAAATAAGCATAAATAATAGCTAAGGCATGGTCAACAAGAGCCTAAGCTAGGTGCTCCCTCAAGAGGCAAAAATGGTCCTTTTCAAGGACAACAAGGAGAGGGGGTGGCCCTCTCCTTCTTGGGACCTCAAGGCACCATCCGTACCACTGAAATCCGTCAAGATTTCAGTGGTGAGGAGGCCCAAACAACAAAGTCCCGGAGCTCACACAAAATAGCACAAAACAAGGGCCAAACCAGGCTTAGGAGGGGTCAAACAACCCCAAAGCTTAAAACACTCTTAACAAACTATTTAGAAGCCTTAAAAACAAAACTTTTATGTTTTATATGCAAATCCAAAAAGCAGTTGCAAGATAGGTAAAAGTAGTGTGCAAAAATGGGGTAAAAAGGGACTAGTTTCTTACCCTTGAAGTCCTCCTTCACAAATGATGATCTTGTTGCCTCCTTGAGCTCAAATTCAGTCAAGAACACCAAGAACAACCCTCTGGTCCCTCAACAACCAAGAGAAGGTGTAACACTATATGTTTGTGTGCAATAGTATGGACAAACACACACTAGACACACATAAGAGAGAGATATAGAGATAGGAAATATATATCAACCATAACCCTAATCCAGAGCTCCCTCTGGAATTTTTTGTAACCCTAATGCCAAGAGAGGAGCCCTCTTCTTATAGGCAACTCTCTCTTGTAAGGCTTCCAAAACAAGCCATCCAAGAGGAAAATCCCTCCATACACGTGTATGGAGGGGAACAGAGTGGGTGCCAGCTATCACAGCTGGCACAAAATATCTACTAAAAGTAGATGAACAGTGATCGGCCATTCAAAATTGTCATTTTGGCAAAATAAATGGCCGACCGGCAATATACATTGCCGATGGCATAAAATCACTGGCCGGTGGTCTCAAGCCATGGCCGGTGATGTATGGGGATGCCTTACAAGGCATTCCCTGCCCCTCCAAGGCAAAACACAAGTGTTTGGTGCAAATCCAGACACAACACGGTCGAGTCGACAGATCCTGAGGCAAGGCGCGCAACCGAGACCTCCGGGAACTCAAGACGAACACAAACAAGGGTAATCACCAAGTGTTCCAATGGTGACGTCCAAGTCTTGAGGACGGTCAAAAATGGGGTGTCTACAGACACTAAAACGAACATTCAGCGTCATTTTCATATAACGTTTTCTCAGGAAAAATTTATTTGTTAATAAATCTAATAACAGGACCATGTGTTACCTTTGTCAGGATGTAGGAAGGCGACATTGTCATTTGTTAGTATCTCGTTGAATATGCGACTATCATACATACTTCCTTCCCATCCGCAGGAAATGAATATGAAACACATGTCAAAATCGATAGCGGCCATTATATTTTGCGTGTGACAGTATTTCCTACCGAAATATGTTGCCGCATCTGGCCCCGTAACCCATGCACTAACATGTGTTCCGTCTATTGCGCCAATGCAGTCCTGCAAACATAAATAAATTATTTTGTTGCATAAGTGGGTAACAAGTGTTTCGTTTTTATAAAAGCGTCACGTGCAAATAATAACAAAAACAAAATATATTGTCTTCATTTATATGTCAATCATGTTTTTCATAAGTACCTTGAACGGTAGGTATTTCCGTTTAGACTGCACGTATGGATGTATACGATGCTGACTGTATGTGGGCCGGCAATGAACAATAGTGAACTCTTTCATGGAAGTTAATACGTTATGCACGTGCCTCGACACAGTCTCCCCGAAATGTTGGAACCGTTCTTGGATTTCCCGGTTTTGCTTCCTTTTCAACACATGGATAAACATCGTAACGCTTTCTTCAACAGCTAAGCCATGGGGACGTTGCGGGACTTGTAACCCAAAATCATTGACTAATGTCTCACACAATGTGGCAAAAACTTCCTTCGGCATGCAAACATTTTCCTCAAATCGACCCATATGCCCCGCATATAGTTCGCATATCCATGTATTCCCGGTTAGTATAGAAGTGCGACACGGCGTTTTATTCATGTGTTTTTCGTACCATTCTGTCGCCAACTGACATGCTTGTAGAAATGTGCAGTTCTGTTCTTGTTGCACCTAGACCGCCATTTGATTAAGCATTTCTGTTATTTCATCATGGTTGCTTCCATCCCAGGGATTCATCGCGTCTTCGTTGATGCGAAACCTACAAGAGTGGCAGCCTTTTAATCAGTTGGCACGTGATTCATTGACTTAAATTTTATTGAAGTTTGCAATTAGAAAATGCCGACATTGTTTTTAATCAAAGTAATGCCGTCACCAATGTCATTTGGAACGCATGATCATATGAATTGCACAAAAAAAAGAAGCTGTTCAACTTATGCTTTACAAGGGGGCCATGGTGGTAACAACCACAAAACTAGCCAGCAAACTAAACTAACAAATGAACTTGTGACATATAGGCATTCAAAAGCGTGCAAGTAAAACGTAATTCCCTGTCTTAAACATACCCACAAAAAATATTATAACATAAACATCCCATTCATTTCCCAAAAACGAAGCACAACCACGTTTCCGTTCCGTCAACCCATGCACTTACCTAAAACTTGTTGCTGCCCGTAGCTAGTAATAAAAAAACAAAAACGACATAATGAAAACATGCACACACCACCATCCTGTTTTAGTACAGTGCCAACAATACCATAAGTCAAAGTTTTAAAAAGGAAGAGAAGGACATGCATCTTCAACACTCGTAACACCGCTACATCACATCCGGCGACCCCCAAACAGGTTTGCAAAAGGCGCCGACGCAGTACACTGGAGTTGCTTCTGTGTAAGCCATCCAATGATGTGGTCGTCATCAAGCTGGCACATCATGACCTCCCAGTAATCGGCGTTATCCATAAGTGTGGAGGCGAAGTGGAATAACGGTGTACCAATCAGGGATGGAATACTGCCCAATTTATGCATGCACTCGGAAATAGTGTACAGCGATTCGTTGCCTGTGACGTGCCTTACCGTGACCTGCTCATTCTTCGAACGCACCACATCTGTCATTCTGTCCATGCTTTTCGCAATAACGGACGCACCACTTGTTCCCTTCTTCGACTTTGAAACACTTGTTGATGGCGTCTTTCTCCTTTTTGCCTTTTCAATCGGAACATGCTCCAGTGAAGTATCAGAATCCACGTCCTGTACTCCTGCGGGTATCGGATCAGCAAATGGCTAGGCTCCCAAACTACGCACTGAATCAGATGAGTCCTCAGCAGGTTCGGGAAGGTTCTCTCCCGGGGTCCAATGATGCTTCCCAGTAGCTAATGCCCCCATGAAGACCGTCTCCATCAAGTCACGGTGTTCCAAAGTTTTTTTCCTGAACTTCGCACACGCCTTGTTGATCTGCAGAAATATAGATGTATGAAAGAGGCAGACGTTATATTTCATATAAATAAATTCTATTGAAGTTAAATGAAGAAGTAAAAAATGTATCCGTAAATGACAAATATAAAACTTGTTTGTACATGTACTTACTGATTCCATCTTGTCCCGCCACTCGTCAGGTGCCTGAAACAACCCAGTGTCATAGTCAAAGCCTATCCCGGACACTCCCTTGCTTGAATCCATCAACTTTGTCCACGCTTGCCACTCTTTTTTCAAGGTCATGTACTTATTCTTCAATTGTTTCAGTCCATGTTTTTTTCCTGTTTTTTTCTCAAATTCCCTTGCCAATGACTTGTACCCTGCTTGGCTGAGGACTAAGAATGGGCGATTTCCTTTACTAATCTCATTTGCAATTAACTGGAGGAAAACTCGGACTGAGTTACTGTCCCATGACGCCTTGTGGCTTAATTGATTTTGTGTCTCTTAAAGACTGCTTGACTTGTCAGTGACAACGCCTTTGTTTTTCGAGTGGTTACGCGGCGAAGTACGTGTCGAAGCCATTACTAATGTACGATTACAAAAGATTACCAGCACAAATTTGGTTGTTATATACACACGCATAAGCCATGACACGTTAATAACAACAAACAGAGATATATGATGCTAAAGTTAAATTTGCATATAACCATTGAACATTACTAACATACATACACAGGTTCCATGGAAGTCAGTAGTGGACAAAAATATGATAGTTAGTATTACGGCTCCCATATGCGACAACATACTACTAACATGGTACGAACATACTAACAACATACTGACAACATACTAACGTCTTTGTACATACTAAGAACATGGTAACGGTGCTTACATACGGCACAACAAAATGATAACGACAATGCAGAGCACATACACAATGGTCTTAAGGACACGCAAGGATTGTTGAATGTCTATGACATTAGCCCGCAATTGCATGGCAATTTCATATCCGGGTGACGCATAGCCTTGGTTCTCTTGCCTTCGTTCTTCACACCAACCAATCCAACTTACACAGGGCTGATGAGTGAAAATTATGGAACTATTAGTTTCATGGGTTGTTAATGTTCATAAAGTTATGACCGGTAAAGATTGGGTCACTCACCACAGGGCGGGGACAGACAAAGTAGGAACGCCTTGGATTTTTGGTGGACCTGGAAATCTTAACAATACACGGGCCATGTCCACAGGCACACATTCGTCGTGGCCATGTACTGGAAGTTGCAGTAGAGGTGAACGACGCCATGCTACGCTTTAATATATATCAAATTTACATGAATCAACATGAACAGATACGAAGAGTAACGCAAATTTATATTTTAATATGTTTTTAACATCGTTTTAATATATTTGTAATATTTTTTTTAATATACCCAATTTTGTCATATATTTGTAATAACTTTTTAATATATTTACCTCGTCAATGTGAATGTTCATATTGTCAATGTGTAGGGGCTCGGCCCATGTCGATCCTCATGGGTGCCCGAAAAAATTCGAGTAGGGCCGGGGCGGGCCCGGCCCATTGACAATGTGAATATTCACATTGACATGTTAACATTCACATTAATAGGAGTGTAAAAGTGGCCATGTACTGGAAGTTGCAGTAGAGGTGAACGACGCCATGGTACGCTTTAAATTGCAAATAAATTTACATGAACCAACATGAACACATACAAAGACTAACGCAAGTTTATATTTTATTCCATGAACTCACTATGTTGTTTGTAAAAGTATTGTGCATCATGAATTTAGGTATATTGGTAATATATTTTGAAATTTATTTTTTATTAGATTTGTGAATATATTGTTAATATATTTTCTAATAATTTATTAAATTAATATATGTTTACTAAAAATTTTACAGACATATATTGTTGAACATATTTTTTACGAAATTTTGTTTAAGATAACTGTACAATATTTTTTATGTAATTAATATATTGTTCACAAATGAGAATTGAGCAATTCGTATTGAGTAAAAAATGTATTGAAATTAATAAATCTATTTTGTAATATATTTTAAATATATTTTATATGATTGTTTAAAAAAATTTCTGAATATAGTACTATTTTGTAATATATTTTAAATATATTTTATATGATATTTTAAAAATACTTTTGAATATATTTGTACACTATTTTTTAATAATTAAATTTTGTCATATATGTTTAATAAAAATTTTACACTCTTTACTTTTTAACTCTAAATTTGTAATATATAATTTAATATATTATTAATATCTTTCTAATATTTTTTTAATATATTTGTTAATAAACTGTTTTTTTTATATATTTGTAATATTTTGTAATTTGTTGTTAATATATATAGATAATATATGTACCTTCCTTCCCAAATTTAGTTCCAAATATATTTTTTATCTAATTAATATATTTTTTAGAAATGAGAATTGAACATTTCGTCTTGAGTAAAAAATATACGCAAATTAATACATCTAATTTGTAATATATTTTCAATATATTTTTTTTGATATTTTGAAAACATTTTTCAATATATTTATGATATAGTTTTTCCTAATTAAATTTTGTCATATATGTCTAATAAAATTTTTATAGTATTTACTTTTTAAATCTAAATTTGTAATATACATTTCACATATATTTTTTTTCATATCTTGGTAATATATTTTTAATATATTGCTTAATTGTTGACAATTTTTGTTTTTTTTTTCTGTACTATAAGTTTTATATATTTTGTAATTTGTTGTTAATATATCTAACTTCCTTCCCAAATTGAGTTGGAATTATATCTAATTTGTTATATACATTTCATATATATTTTGTAATTTGTTGTTAATATATATTTTTTTATGTAATTGAGTTGGAATTATATTTTTATATATTTTTCACAAATGGGAATTGACCATTTCTATTAGCAAAAATTCAGGGTTCAACATTGATTATAAACAAAAAATATAACAAATCTGCCCCAAATGTGTGATAACCGAACAGATATATCTGCATTTCAAAATATAACCAAACAGATACAAAAAATATAGAACAGATTTGTACATCAGAACAGATACATAACATTGGCATTTCCTTCAGTTTAAACAATGGTGCCTTCATAAATCTGCCCCAAATTTGTGATTCAGAATAGATATATAAGATCAACAGATCTGACTTTCATAAATAAGAACAAATATTTTAAGAAGAACAGATATATTATATATATATATGAATGTATATATACAAATCTGCCCCAAATTTGTGATTACCGAACAGATTTTGAACATAACAACAGATCCAGAATCCCAGATTTGTCACAGAGACAGATCGGTGCCCCGTCTGTGTGTAATGTAAGCGTAATCAACCCAATCACGACCGTAAAGTAACAGATCGGCCATGAATCGATGCTGTTATGAACCTAAACTATGCAGATGGGAAGAAGAAGAAGAGAAATCAGATAGGCCATAGAGCATTACCTACAGATCGGTTTGAGTTTGAGAGGCTTCGTTGTTGTTCGCCGCCGCGGATGCATACTCCGGTGGCGATTTCCTCTGCCAAGGTCGCTCAGATGCCGTCAGATAGCTCCGTTCTTCTTCTCTTTTGCTTTGCGAAGGGTGTGTTGGGTTCAATCTGAGGCTTGTCCTGCAGATGGAAGAGAGTTTAACCTATCGGGGCATTTGGGTAAATTTACACGACTAAGCCTCTCCCATACCCGTGAAATGCATTTTTGTCGGGACGTGGCTAAAATAGACAACTTTGTCGCGACGTGGCTAATTTAGCCCGGCTTTTCCTTCCCAAACAACACTTGTATGCATCAATTAGTGTATTAATTAGTGTATCAATTGATAATGTGTCATAATTTAAAATATTTTTAATATTTGTAATGTAATTAATGAGTAAGGTCAATAATAATATCATAACTAATGTACCAATACTAATTCGTACACTAATTGGTGCATGTAATACTACCATTTTTAAATTAAGGTTATTTACCTAAGATCTCCTGAATTATTAAAAAATATATACTTTTATAATTTAGGAGATTAAATTAAGGGAAAATTAGTTTAAGATCCCTCTTCCATTATTCACAATATTATTGTATGATGTATAAGGTCTCCTCAACTCCCACACTCATATATCATAGAGCAATTTGACTCTCCCAAATCAAATCAAATCTCTTCTCTTTTTTTTTCTCTTTGTCACTCTAAACTATCTCTTCCTCTACTAAATTCACCTATTCTCCTTTCTCTCTCTCTTCTCTACGCCTCTTTCTTTCTCTAAAGCAACAGTCGCGATCTTTCAGATCTTCTACGATGCATCTTCTCTACACCCTCTATTCCTCCTCATCTTCTCCACCACTAATAGCCACAACATCATAGCTCTTCTCTCCAGCTTTTCGGACTATAACCATTTCATCACGAAATCCGCTATTTAAGAGATCATCGTCATTTGTTCAGATCCAAGTAGACCTTTACTTCAACAACTCTCCGGCGTCACCGTCTGCTCCCTACTGGTCTTCATCGTTTTTTCTATAGAGAGAGAGACATAGATTTGCAGGCAGTAAACCGATAGAGAGAAAGAGACATCGACGGTGGTGCTGGATCAGATGAAGACCGAAGCTTCCTCGTCGGCACGATTACCGCAAAATCCTTCGGTCAACACAAATATGAGTTTGAAGAAAATCCTTTGCTAGTAGGTGAGTTTGGTGAAGATGTTAAGGTCAACACATATGTGTATATGTATGCATTTATACTGTTTGTTTGTTTGTTTTGTTTATTTGGTACACTTAATGAAATTTCACTAAGTTGTCTCAATGAAATTTTACTGAAACAACTCAGTGAAATTTTAAGAAAACAAACTCAGAGAAATTTGTTTAATTTTATCTGTCTTGTTTAATTTTCTCTATGATGTTCAATTTTCTCTGAATTTCTCTAGTTTAGACTCAGAAAAATTTCAATTTTCTCTGGTGTGAACCCAAAGAAATTCTTTGGAAAGTCTAGAATTTCTCTAGAGAGAATTTCTCCGAATCGATATTAAGGGACCTTAGACATTATGAAAATATTGAATGTCCTTTATGCTATAAAATCTTAATATCATGGACCCTAAAAAAAATCCTCTTAAATGAATACTTCTCAATAGTTTAAAAGATTTATTTGTACGTTTTCATAATTTAAAGAGTCAAAGTGATATTTTTAATAGTTTCGAGGTCTTTGTAGAAATAACTCTTTAAATTACGATTGGTAGTATATTTGATAAAATTTAATAATTAATTTTTAAATTTTTTTAATTATTTTGTGAAAATATTATTGCATTATCATTTTTCTTCGCTCTCTCTCTCTCTATATATATTTTAACATAGAGCTTGATTATAAATTCAATAATGCTAGCTTGATTCTATAATATGATAGTATTTAGGCCTATTTTGATAACTAGGAAAAAAAGTCAGTTTATTGACTTATTTGA